CATAAAGCACTCAAAAGCCACCTGGCGGTAAAAATTCCAAGTAGACAGAGAAAAGCGGCTCTGCTGCATAACTCGCCAGCAGTGACAGCTGTAAAAAGGCAGTGATCGAGCGTTGTGGGAGTGTAAGGGGGGTACACCCGCCAGCAGCCTAAGCAGCAGCAGCAGCAGCGGCAGTTTTGGTCGTTAGTGGGTAAACTTTTTTCCCGAACGGCCTATTTTACCGTTTTGCGAGTGTAAAATTCACAAGTGCGCGTTGTGTTGTAGGAATGTGCGATTCCACCAAGAATCGAATCGATTCTTAAAGGCCGATTCCCGAGAGAATTTTTTTTGAAGAGTCGATTCTTTTGAAAAAGAATTGAAGAATCGATTCCGATTCTCCAACATTTTTTTATATTGAAGGTAAAAAAATAAAAACTGAGTGCTGAAATTATAAATAATTAAATTTCATTTATTTATTCATGAATTATTAATTATTAATTACAAAACTTTGATATAAACTATATTTGATATTAAGATTGTTTTAAACATGACTCAGTTCCCCATATTCCTGTGGCAACGAGGATAAGAATAACAACATTTTTAAGTTGTTTCCTGTTAATCTATTGCGATTATCTTTTTTTACAAGTCCTGAAATAGAAAATATTCGCTCACTAGGAACACTTGAAGATAAAATTATATGTTTTTTAAGAGCTATTTCGCTCAATACTGGGAATGATTGCGCACAATTTTTCCAATATTCAAAAATATTTGAATCTAAAGGAATTGTTGATAAGTGTAAGAACTCATCCAACTCAGTTGACCAATCTACCTTACTCTGATTACTAGAATTACATACTAATTTGTCATGAAGCTTTCATATGTAACTGGATGAGTTAGATTTAGAAAGTTCATTTGGACGAGTTTGACTACTAAGCTTAGATGCATTTTCCTTAATACGATTTCTGATTTTGTTTATTGCGTGGACTAGAGCTGCTCCATCTTTGAAATGAACTTTTTTAAACCGGGGATCGATTAGTGTACATTCAGCCAAAGTCGACCTCTCAAAGTTTTTTAATCTACTTTCGATTGATTTTTCCATGTTTGCTTTATATTTTTTTCCAATATCTGTACTTGGAGCAATATCTTCAATTTCTTGCTTCATACAGTTGACGAGAGGTATAATGACACTGCATGATGCATTATTTTCACTGCTTAATCCAGTAATAACCCAATTGACTACTTGCATAATGGGTCTTACATCTTTCAAAGTGACCATCTCTTCTATTGACAATAGGTCTATAGGATTATCACATCGTTTCATGGCCAAGTAAATATATTTTTCTAATTCAATCTATCTATTCTGATCTATTATATTTACTTTATCAATTAATCTATTTAAATCATGAAGTTCTTTCACAGCGTCCTTGAGCACGAGAGCAAGTGTGTGGGCTAAACACACAATATGTCTGTCTTCAAAAAGCTCTTTTGCAGCTTTGCGAATAGCTGACTCTGCATCAGTTACAAATCCAACTACTTTGTCTTGACTAATTTCAAATTTTTCAAGAGTAGCCGTTGGCCGTTTAAGCAATTAATTTGTTTATAACTTTTAAACGCACCTGATTCAAGAAAATCAACCTCGAAAAATCGATTCAGCGCATCAAAATACGTCTAGAAACGTGTAAAAATGCCGTGGAGTCGGAAATTTTCACGAAAACTGAGCCAGCGTCCGGACTATAAATAGAGGTTTTTGGATAAAAATAGAAAAACACGTATAACTTTTGAACAGGATCAGCTAGGATTTTGGTTCGAACGGGGTTTTCATCTGTGATTGACCGACTAAACAGTGGTGCAATCAGTTTTGGTGGCCATTTTGATGAAACCTATCGCGGCTTCAGGCCCACCGTGCCCTGCCTCAATAAAACTTTTTTAAAAAAAAAATGCCTACAAATTGAATTATTCGGGAAAAAAAAGTATTCGGGAAAAAAGGTATTCGGGAAAATGACTTTTCGGTAAATAAGTCATTCGGGAAAAAGTCCATTCGGGAACATGCAAAAAAGACCATTCGGGAAAATGGTCGTTCGGGAAAATGTATTCGGGAAAATGACCGTTAACCGATACTTAAGATTCAGATCAGATTGATATTCTTGTTAAAAAATTCTTTCTGACTTTCTTTAATTTTTATTGACTCAAAGCAGTTTACCAAAAAAATATTCAGCAGTTATCTCAAAAAACGTGACTTACTTCACCTGTTATTACTTAAATAAAAACCATTCCGTTTAATTACAAGAAGAATCAATATTTCCAATCATTCTCTACCTTCCAAAGGGTGCATTATGAGCTTGTGAAAATTTGCATGATTTTATGATCATTTCATTATCAATTTATCTAGCAGTTCAACATTTACTATTAAAAAGTACACAATTCAAGGATCACAATTTCAGGGTAATCAGCATTAGAAAACTAGAAAGAATTTAGTTAAAACTTTTTTATTTTTATAAATATATAATATTTTACATTTTTTTGTTTCTACAAGAATTTAACTTGCTGCAAATGAAAATTGTTTTTTGAGTAATATTATATTTTACTTAAGTATCATTTTTACTTGTATTTTTAAATAATGATTCTTAAATTATTTGTGATAAAATAATCGCTTTATAGGCATGAATCGTTTATATTATTTAGGCACATATCACACATTATCTCTATACATACTCACACAAATCTGCATTATTATATGCATATGTAAGTCGACTTTAACTTTTGTGGGTTAGGTCGTGAAATGAAGGCTGCTGTTGATGCTAGTTAAAACTGTTGATGAATTTATTTACATTATTTGCATTGAATAGATATCAAACAATAATTAATAATTATACATAGATACAGGTTTACCTGAATTAACAAGAAGTACAGCATTTGTTATTTAAATTTGTTATTTGTATCTTTGTGACCATTTGAAAGAGTTTCAAATTCTTTATCAAATTCATTGATAAAATTCTCACTTGAAATGTTTCTGTTACATGCCGATCTCTCAAAATACATCTGAAGTATCTTAAGCACAAGCATTGGGTTGGCTAACAGTAGATGAAAATAAGATAATGAGATTGAAACATGAGATCTTGAAATTTCGTGGTTCGGCGACCGTCAGATTTTTTTTTTCTGCTGCTTTTGGCATCGCTGAATCGGCACACGCAGGCGCCGGCGAGATAGCGAAAGCGCCATCGAGCTCATGACACCCACACACACAATCGCAGAGATCGACACCCACACACATGACACTAACTGCGCTCGCAGAAAGCAGAAAGCAGCGATGCTACTCTCTTGACTCCTATCCGTGTAATCTCGGTGCTTATGAAGTTGCGTGTGTGTGTGTTGTGGTGGCCGCGGCGCACAGTGCTCTGACACACACACACATGCACATAAGTTATACGACATATAAAATACAAGAGAATACAACTCAAAGATCAGTGTACTCAACGACTCACCTGCTAACGTAGTAAAAATCGTACCTACACTGTATATACAATGTAACGCGTACACACTACACGTTGTTTTGTCCATTGTATGTAATGTAACCAATACAAAATTCTGCAATAATCGTGTCGGTGTTCGCGAGACAATAATTGATTCGTTTGTTTAGTTCAGTGACAACAATAGGAGCAGAATTTTTATCACTGTATACAGGTACATTTTGACGTATCCAAATTAAAAAAATTGTACCGTATATTTATTTTACCGAATGATAAATGAATGTCTTTGCAGGACACGTTCTTTTACTTGAAATCGAAGTACTTGAATGGAAAATAAAGGACTTTTCAAGGTTCGAGCACATATTATAGAAATACCAATTAGTACTTGAGTATCAAAAAAGCATTGGTCTGCAAGGTGCACCGGAACCAGAAAATGACTCTCTTCTGCAGTGAAATTTAGATGTTCAGAATTCAATTCGTGTGTTTATTTGTCAACAAAATTGACACTTTATTATGGTAACCAGCAAGAGTCAAGCCATATCGTACTGTCACAAAAATGCTACAATATCTCATGACAAAGACTACGTTCAGGAACTTGTACCACCTTGGATTATAAATCCTCTTTTTCTACCGCATATTACAACTACTTCAGTCAATTATTTCCATGTAAATTTGGCACATCGCTACTCTAGACTGAGGTGTCTATTTATAGAAAATTAATTAGCATATTAGAAGTACAGGTATGTTTGTGTTTTATTATTTATATCTATAATTGAGATAAACGGGTATTAAAATAGAAACTATATTTATTCTAAAAGTTATATAATGCAACACTTACAAATCACATATAACGCTATGCCACTTATGCTATAGCAGTAACTTCTAGAGATGAGTGTATATAGTGAGATAATAATACAATTGAATAATTTTATATCATACAGATATACATTCATACAATATGCATTTCTACATACGTTATGCACTATTTGTAATTTAAGATATTATAATATTCAAATAAAAATTATCAAACTAATATAATTTAGGAATATTGCTTAAAAACAAAACTGTGCTGTCTTTGTTGAATCATATCATATTTTGTTGCAGGTCAAATAATGTCAAGAAAATTGTATGTGATTTTAAAAGTTTCAAATACTCAATATCAAGTAAACAGACCAAGCATATCCATGAAGTGATTATAATGACGTAAACAAGGATAATAACAATGACTGTTTTTATATAATTATTCAAAAATGCAAGCCAAAAAACGTTATCTTCTTGTCTTCGTGACTTGTGCTTTCCTGGGTTATTGTTATTTTGGTGGCTATAGATTAAAAGCCACAAAACTTTTGGAGCAGAGAAAATTATCATACAATGATTTAAGTTACTACGTTGTCAATCACGAATACAAAAATAATTATGGTAAATACTCAAAATCATCAAATAAGGATTCACAAGCGACAAATAATTTTCGAGGTTGTGATATGGAAACATGCTTTGATTTTAATAAGTGCAGAGAAGGATTTCTTGTTTATGTCTATCCTATTGAAGATAATATTAGTCCATTGTACCAAAAAATACTGAATGTTATAACTGAATCAAGATATTTTACATCTGATCCAACAAGAGCTTGCTTATTCGTTTTGGCTCTAGACACACTTGACAGAGATCCTCTATCCACAGAATTTATTCATAATTTACCTTCCAAAATTGCACGATTGCCATACTGGAATAATGGAAGAAATCATTTAATTTTTAATTTGTACTCTGGTACTTGGCCAGATTATATAGAAGAAGCATTAGCCTTTGATTACGGTTATGCCATTCTTGCTAAAGCCAGTTTATCTACTAGAAAGTTGAGAGAAGATTTTGATGTATCTATACCTCTTTTTTCAAAGCAGCATCCTGAAAGGGGTGGTGAACCAGGGTTAGTTACTAGCATTCATAATTCTAATACTAAAAAGTATTTGGCTGCTTTTAAGGGAAAAAGATATGTTCATGGTATTGGTTCAGAGACAAGGAATGCTCTGTACCATTTACATAATGGAAAAGATCTCATATTCATAACAACTTGTCGTCATGGTAAATCTTGGAGAGAGTTGCAAGATGAACACTGCCAGCAAGATAATAGAGAGTATGACATGTAAGCTGAAAAACTTGAAAAATTTCAATAATCTTTCAATGTTGATAACAGTTTAATCATTATGTTTTTGTTCTAGGTATGATTATGATGTTTTGTTACTGAATTCCACATTTTGTCTTGTACCCAGAGGTCGTAGGCTTGGAAGCTTTAGATTTTTGGAAGCATTGAGAGCTGGATGTATACCTGTAATCTTGAGTAATGGATGGGCTTTACCCTTTCATGACCACATCGATTGGTTCCAGGCAGTAATATATGCAGATGAAAGACTTCTTTTTCAAGTACGTTTCATGATATAGAACTAAATATGTTATTATGAAATTTATTGATTTAATGTTATTCGCAGGTTCCAGATATGCTTAGATCCATATCCGAATCTAAGATTAATGAGCTAAGAAAACAAACACAATTTTTATGGGAACGTTATTTTTCCTCTATTGAGAAAATTATATTTACTACTTTTGAAGTTAGTTTTTTTTCTTTAAATTATTATTAAAACTGAATTTAAATTATAGTATTGGATTTAATGTTTTCATAGATCATACGTGAACGCATTCCATGGGAAGGTAGCCGGGAATATAGGGTATGGAATCGCAATCCTGGAGCATTGGCCATAATACCAAAATTTGCTAACAATCAACAAGAACTTCCATTTCAAGAATGTGATCCTGGAAATGCTTTTACAGCAGTCGTTTATTCTCAGCTAGGTTCTACACCGGTTCTCTATAGACTGTTGAAAAATGTTTCTAAAAGCAAATTTGTTGATAAGGTAAATTAGATTTACAAAAAATTTTAATCAAAAAATAATATTCTTTATTAAAGTATATTTTATTTTTACAGATCATATTAATGTGGAATTCAGAAATTGCTCCACCTGCTATACCTCGCTGGCAAGGTGTTAAAGCGCCAGTTCACATAGTTCTTGCTTCAAGCATATCTTACCGATTCTATCCTCACCCTTTGATCAATACTAGTGCCATATTATCATTAGATGAAGACGTGATTCTCAATACAGATGAGATCGATTTTGCTTTTATTGTTTGGCAAAATTTTCCTGATAGAATTGTTGGGTATCCTGAAAGATCACATTATTGGGACGATTCCAAGGTACTAAAATTGTTCTTATGATGAAAGTTTTTAAAAGTGATACGAGAGATAATGTTTTGACACAAAAATTATGAATATTTCAGCGATCTTGGGGCTATACCAGCAAATGGACAAATGACTATAGTATGGTCTTGACGGGAGCTGCAGTGTATCATCGTTACTATAATACGCTTTATACCGAAACTTTAAGCTCTACTCTGCATAAAACGGTTGAGCAATCTCAAAACTGTGAAGATATTTTAATGAATTTTTTAGTTAGTCATATAATTCGTCGTCCTCCGATCAAAGTAACTCAACGGAAGATTTATAAGGACACAACGGTAGCAGGCAAAAGGTAAATTTAAAAAATCAAGTTTTATTAATTACTATTTTTACGATACTGCTTACCTTATTTTTTATTTAATTAGGTCGCCATGGAACGATCCGGACCATTTTATCCAACGTCAAACTTGTATGAATACATTTGTTGCGGTCTTTGGTTACATGCCGTTGCTACGATCAAACGTAAGACTGGATCCAATACTCTTTAAAGAACCCGTAAGTAGCGTGCGCAAAAAGCATAGGCAAATTGAGTCGGTTCATAGCTAGGATTATCCGTGTTTTACTATCGAAAACATGTACATTGTATAATTAAAATCGTTTGAATCAAGGTTTTATCGAGTTAATAAGACAAATGCGTATTTTTTAATGTTTTTTACGCAATATAAACTTTTAGCGTTCATTTACATTCTTTTTTTATGTTTGTATCAAAGAAAAACAAATAATAAGATAGCCGTGCCATTATTGAATAAAAAAAATGTGTAGTAAAGCAACTCAATGCTACGTTAATGTTTAAAAATGTATAATAAAACGCATCCGTGTAAGAACAATAACTACGAGTAAAGTACTGAAGTACCCAATAAGTCAAATTATTTATCAATCAAATGAGTGTGTGCACGCATAAAAAAATGAATTTGTATGTATTATGTTTATATGAACGTGCATGAAAATAAATATACGTCGCGAGCTTCGGATTTCTTGCACTTCAATAACTTTCTTAAAATTGAATGCAACGTTGAATTATTTCGACATTTTGGTATGGACTGTACACTCGAAAAAATGTAGAGTCTAGACAACGACTTTTAAATTAATTAGCGTTGTAAAGGTCAGGTGCAATGATATGGAAACGCAATTAAAATGAGTAAAGAAATTCGATGCCGCGAAATGGTGATGATTAACCAAAATCTATTAGTGCATTAATCGCTCTGCTGTGCCGCATATATTAGACACTACGTCATTTATTAGATTTATTATTATATAACTTGAGTTATAAACCAGAAAACATTTGTATATAAACTTTTAGCTTTAAAGAAGCATATAGAAACTTTATGAAAGGTATGATTGTGTTCGATCGATATTGAAATATTGAAAAACTATTATTTGACACAAGAGTGAGTGCCTTTCTACAGAGTGTATCATCCTGGTTTGTCAATTCTGAATTTTGCGTTTCAATAGAATGTCCAGTCGACCCGGATGTCCTTGTCCCTTGTGCATCAGCCGCGCGAGTTCCCCTTTCCTTTCTTCTTTTTTAACGAAATCATTCGCATACACATCCGTTTCGTGTCAATCTTTTTTTTTCTTTTGCTTATCCAAGCTAAGACGCACTCGCATAACAGCAATGAAAATGAATGTATAAACACTGACCATTTGATATTCGTTTTAAAAAGCTCGTGCAAATCATTGTACCATAATACCATTTTATATCATTCCAATTTTTTCGATGTATATGAAACGCTTTGAAATCGATTTATTCTGATTGTATATAGTATGCAGCATGAATTTGTGCTGATTAATCGCGATGAATAATAAAAGAGAATGCAAATATTTCGTACTTAGAGAAGTCAACTATTATATGTATCAAAGAATATAACTTCTAAAAATGAAGATATATGCCATGTCGATTATACTTGAAATTTTTTCATACACGTTTTAGTATAAAATTTATTTTTATTGATACATCGTCTTTCTTTATCAAAAAATGTAATTTTAAAAAAAATATATCCAGCTGTTTAATTAAGAATATGTTGTTTTACTTTCCTCAACATTCCTATAATTTATTATTTTCTTGCAGCTGTATAGAAAAAGGCGTAGGAGAACCCACGATCCTTGAGATCCTAACATCTTTTCTGTTTACAGAAACTGGTGGAGGCGAGACTTGATAATTGATAGGATGATTTTAACACCAAAATCACTAGTTACACGTTTGATTATATAATTTTTCGCAATATCAATTAGGAGTTGATAAAAAAATGACGAAATTGTTAAAGCCCATTTAAACGATGATTTTTTGCTTGCTTGAGCGCGCGAGTAATTGAATTTCACTATGGTTTTGAGCGGCCGAGGTATTTCTTACACATAAAAGTCTCGAGAATGGGTTACCCAACGCTTGAACTTCTTTTGAAAGCCAATTGTTCTGCGATCATGACAGAGTAAATTTCATTTGTCAGACGATTTGCCACTTGTGTGTGTCTGTTGTTGTTTGGTATTTTCGCGAGTATTTATCGCACACACACACGTATTACTTTCTACTCTATATTCAGGACCACGGGTGCTGGGTAAAAGATTTTATATTAAGTAATACGATCTTACGCGCGCAGGAGAATAGCAAAATTCTTTCAATTCTTTCACTTTCAATCGCATACTAGCTCCGTGTTCAAAGTTATATATTTATATTCTTTTATCTTCAGAACTTGTCGTATAATGCACATTCTACGTGATATAAGAGGTGGATTAAAATTTTTTAAATTATTTCATTGGTATACCTCTGACGTCTCTAGTTTTACATGAAAATTCGCTTTTTTGTCGGTTAATGGCATCTCACACGTATGAATATCATTGTTTTCGCGGCGTACGCCAAAAGTAGCCTTGACCCAAATTAACCAAGGCCAATTGTGTAGAGCGTTCGTTTCTTTTCTTCTTTAAACCTGGAATTTTATCGAGCCAATTTATATCCGTATGAAAAACCAAGATCGAACGAATGTAAAATTAAAAATAATCACAATTTTGAGCGTAAATATTGATCTCGGCGAAAAATCGTCGTGTGAACGAAAGGATAATAAGCGAGGTTGCATTGAGCTTTTAAAAGAGTAAAAGGTGCTCGGTAAATTTATTCATCAATTTTTCCATATTATGAAAAAATTAATGAAAACTAGAACAAAAAGTAGATCTGAAAGCCGCGTAATCGACGCAAGATATGCATAAGTCTGCGTTTCATGAACTAGCTTAGGTTTATCCCACGCCTTCGAGCATACGAGTGAGCTCTTACAATCTGCATGCACGCACAGCATATTGAATGTAATAAATTGCAAAAGCTAAACTCCAATTATCAAACACGTTTACTGAGATTAACGCTGAATATTTTTCTACAAAACCTACGTAAATGTCTAGGAAACGACAAAATTAAGACATTCGTCGCTGTGGCGTATAACGTAGTTTTTTTTTTTTTTTTTTTTTTTTTTAAGAAAAATGTTCAGTGGAAATCCCCAAAAATTGTGTTCCTGAAAATAATCGTTTCGAGTCTGGTTATAACTCATTTAACATTTTGGGGTCAGTAGAAACATACATCGTTGCAACGACACATGTGGAATTGCTTCTGCGAGCGAAGGAGATTATACACAGTAACATTAAGCGATTCTACTACTTCTCGTCAACGTCGACTCTTTTAGTAAACTTTTTTTTCAAATGCAGTTTTACTTTTGTAGATAATTCTAAAAGCTGCAAAGAAAAAGTGGTTTTCTACCACTATACAAGATAATCGTTCAAGCTCCGAACACGTGTAAACCAGGTCAAAAATTTGTTTCAGTTCATTGCACAAATAGTGCAATATGAAAAATTTTGTTGATCTAATCATCTCCCGGCAATTATATTATTATCTCGTCGTCCTTTTATTATTAGGACATATAGTTCATAAACACGAGATCGAAGGGAATCATTAATCAAGCGAAAAAAAGAAAAACCGATTTTCACGGGAAAGAACTCGCACGAATCCAGTTTATAAACGTCTATTATGTCCTAGATATTAGATCCTTGACGGAGATTGTAATGTATATTACAGATAGATATATAAATAAATGAATGACTTTCAGGGTCAGTCGTTTATTTCTGCATTATATGAATGCCCCTAGTACGAACCACGCCGTTCTTTTAATTGGGCTTTATTTCAACTCGTAGTACTACACCTATTGGCGCGCCGAGCTGCGCAACTTGATAACACGATGTTTTGTATCGATATAACACATTGGCTCTGTGTGTATGTGTGTGTGTGTGTGTGTGTGTGTGTGTGTGTGTTTTATAAAATGAAAGAGAGAGAGAGAGAGAGAGAAAAAAATTTCCCCGACTCAACAACATTTATAACTTTAAAGCGTGCGCGCGTGAGAGATTTTTCCAGGTGGCGAAACTTTCGGTATTGATTCTTGATTGATTGTTTTTCTCGCGCAAAAGATTGAATATACACACCGTATTACATATTACACACTCGCGCACAATCTGCTGCGAGCGTATGTATATATACTACTTTCATAATCGGTTGCATGCGAGATGTGATTTGCATAAATATATCGCGCACGGTAAAAATGTATTGTTGTTGTTGTGGCTTTCGTGCTCATTCATTGTTGTGCCTTTTTAGATTAATTTAGCTTGATATTTCCATTAATTAGCGTCGTATATTTCGTAGGGTTCGATTTTTGCTATATGGAAATGATATTTTAGAGCCCCGTCCGGCCGTGTGTGCATTGAAAATTCAGCTGGCCATTAATTAACGGAATCGATCGATTGAGAAACGCGTTTAATATGCAACCCCGAGAAACCATTGATCTTATTGTATATTTTTTTTTCGTCAATATTATGACGGGCGATCGTTCATATTTTCTAATGCGTTGGGAATAACGTAATAAAAACGAATGCATCGGTCATTTTAATATTCTAATGTAACGCGCTAAAAAGGCAATTGCGATTATTGTACCGATTCGCTCGTGACTGCGATTGATAAAGTAGTCGAAGGTAAATGATTTTATAGTATTTTAGCGATTTCGAATCTGAAGCTCGTTTGTCATAATAACGTTATTAATTAGTTTAAAAAATGAGTGCACGAAATGTTTACACTAAAACGAACTAATACCGGCAGATGAAGTTAAGGTAGATAGAAGTTTTATTGGCAGACGTGATGAGCATGAGCGTGAGTATATTATTAAATTTTTTTCGCTTCAAGTTTGACTCCAACTTTTCGCCAAAAGTGAATTTTATTATGAATATAAAATCAATGAAGGGTTATTCGGAGAAGTATTAAACAAGCTTGTTAAAATTTTAATTTTTCAATTTTATTTTTGAAAATTTAATATAACGATATATTATACATAAGTTACATAAAAATGATTTGAAATTAGATATGAGCCCAAAGACTTTGGACCAGTTGTATTTCAAAATTTTTATTTTCATTTAAAATTGGAAAAATTTCTCATCTATCTTATAATGCAAGTCGAACGAATCTGGTTCTGTGTTCCATGGTTTCATTCTGGTTCGTGCCCTCGACACTTTTACATGGTTTTTCTAATTCATCAACGTTTATTTTCTCGAACAGGCAAAACAGATCCTCGTAACTCATATTTTCTGCAACTTTTAAGCAAACGAGGTACGGAAGATTCAACGAGCAATAATCAGTCATGAAAAGATCGGCTGCCAGCAATTCCAAATTCAACGCCAGCCTTATGGCAATGTTTGAGAGGTGTCTCCTTACAGTGAATCTCGCGAATGTACTTCTACACGTTAAGTTATCCATTTGTGGGACATGCCAATTTTTTATGCTCTTCAATATCAAGTAACCCTCGCTGTAATTCATTTTACAAAGTTGATGGAGCAAGACGTCTTCGGTTATCTTGATGTTTT